CGACATGGTGCTAAAAAGAGGGAAAGGAATGCAAGAAGCACTAGATAAACTCTCCCTTTTGCAGTTCAACGTCCCTTGTCATTTTCGGAGGCCGGAGAGAAGGCCGCCTTTTCAGTCATTTTTCTGGACTGAATTCTGCTTTATCGGCGCCTGTTTATCTGTTTGTTTCTGCACTTGGCCAAGCGCACAAGGACTGCGCGGAACGCCCTCGAACGAAATCGAAGTGGAACCAGAATTTTGTCCCGTGGAGGCCGCTTCGGATTAACTTCCCCGCCCTGTTGGTCCCGCGGTCAAATATTGAATTTATATATATGAGGACCCCTCTTCTGCTAGAGACAATAACGGAGGAACCCCCGTCCGGGCGGTCTCGACTGATAAACCTTTCTGGATAATATTCGTGGGCCGGACGCCTTCTCTTCCTGTTAACTCCATCTTTCCAGGGGAATAATTTTTAGGAAGAGTCGAAGGGCTCTGGCGTAGGTTTCCGAAATGCTCCCGGGAACGAAGACATTTTTAAAATCGTCCCCGGGTAAATTTATTTAAAACAAAAACAACAAACCGGCTCTCTCTTCCGTGCTCTGGGCCCAGCCGCGGCCAGCTGCGAAGGCCCAGGCCGCAAATCAAAACCTTGTCAATTTCAGTCTGCGGGGCCTGTCAGTTTCAAATCCGCACCCACTCCCGCTTGCTCAAGTCCCTATTCGGCGTCTTTGCTCGCCTTCTGCGCCCCCCTCCCCAGCCCCTCCACGTCGGGAATGAAGGTTTTCAGGTTTCGTTCCACCAAATCGAAACTGGCCTCTGAGATTCGGTTTGCAAACTCGTCGCACCTCGAGTTCCCTGGCAGGAGCCTTTCTTTTATGCAAAAGCGCCTGGCTGACACCAAAGCAAGGCCGGGATTTGCGGGGGTGGGGTGGTGGTGGGAAATCGGGGGGTGGGGGGTGGGGTGGAGAAACTCCAGAGCGAGCAGACAAAATACACAGTCTCCCAGCCCCAAATTGTGGAGACACCGAAAGATGTTTTGTCTACAAACCAAGAGTTCAAAAGGGCGGCTGGAATTAAGGCCCGGCGCTCCAGAGTTGTTTCCCTGAGCGCAGAATTGATTCTGCGATCCCTCGGACTATATGCCTGTGGGGAAGAGAATGTGAGAGAAGGCGGCATTGCCAAAAAAATATAGAAGTTAAAGAGGAATTATTGTTGTCCTATTTGTGACGCTAGCTTTCAAAGGAAAAAAACACTTTGCTGGCCCGGGGAGAGATTTGAGCGCTGATGCGTTTTCCCGGGATAAGTAGCCGATTTAATACAGCGTAATTTGGGGCTGCCATCCCCACGCACTAAATAATCCACTTTAGATGCACTTTCCAACTGGATTTTGCCGGTTCACACAGTAAAATCCAGTTGGAAAGTGCATGGAAAGTGGATTGAAAGTGGGCTATATAGTGTGTGTGATTGCAGCCTTGGGCCGATTCCTGTCGCATTTATTCCTATTACATTGGGGTACCCCGTTAGGCTTTTTAGCAGAGGCCACCCAGATATGCAACTGAAGAGTTAGCTCGTTTGAGGGTGGCCTAAGGGGGCGAGAGCCCACTCCTCTAATCCACGGCGCTCCAACGTCGCCTCCAGCGGGCCGCTGCGCAACACAATAGAGTCTGGAGTCACGAAAGCAATTCCTGCTTGTTAGTGTCTGTGTCTGTGGGTGTCTCGGCTCTTAAGGATCGCCAAAGCGATGAATCAGCCTGTCATTTTCGGCCTTCAAGTGAAGACTCTTCCATAGGGGAAGAATATTGAAGCCGCAGCAGATTTAGGTATATGGTGTGTGATAGCCACAAACTCCGAGGAAGAAAAGGGACTTCTGTCCACGGCTAGAGAAGGAACAAATCAGACGTATCGGTGTTTTTGTTTGAATCTCAGAAACGACGGCTGCCTTCGGCCCTGTTTCAAACGCCATCTGCTTCCCTCTTCCTGCTTTCTAAAGTAGAAAATCGGGTCACGCCTATTTATTAGGGGAACCGCAGCGCGGAAAGAAACGGAGGACACCCGTCAGAAATGATAACAAATGGTGCACGCCGGATACATCCAGGCCCCGATCTTTGTGAGCACAGAAAGGATCAGGCACCAATGTGTGTGCGCCCAACGACCTGTGTGGTAGAGGCGGAGGCGTCGTATGTGGCGGGCGTCCCTACAGACTCCAACTCCACAGCGCTTTGCTAGAGGCAGAGAATATATATTCCACTCGAGTCGATCCGAATGGATTTGACGGAGTGCGCCGACCTCAAACAAGTGTTGCTAATATTTCTCTCTTAGTAAAAAAAAAATAAATCTTAAAATGAAATTAAAAGGCTTCTTGAGAGAGAAAGACAGAGAGAGAGACAGACAGACAAACTGACGAAAGAAAGAAGGAAAGAAGGAAAGCAGGAAAGAAGGAAAGAAGGAAAGAAAGACAGACAGACAGACAGACAGACAGACGAAAGAAAGAAAGAAAGAAAGAAAGAAAGAAAGAAAGAAAGAAAGAAAGAAAGAAAGAAAGAAAGAAAGAAAGAAAGAAAGAAAGAAAGAAAAGGTTCCACCACAAACTAAGTTGCGCCGGAGGAAAAACGAGTTTTCTCCCTCCGTTTCCAAGAGCCTCAACTCTTTTCCGCCGCCGGCTCTATCTGAGCGCAACTTTCAGGATGCTTTAAAACCCATTTGCCCTAAGCCCCCCCCCCAAACACACGCAATCCCTTCCTTGTTTAACAAACGAAAGTGCAACAATATTCAAGGTTGGGGCTGGAAGAAAACCCCCTTGGATACCCGCATCGCTCCAGCCACGCACTGGGATATTCTTGCCCACCCCAGGCCCTGGTGCCGGGTCTTGCCGCCCCACCAGTCGTCTTGTTTTCGCTTCTCTTCTTCTGATGCCCAGCACCGTCGTTCCCGCTCTCTGTCCCTGTGGCCCTCCAACTGTCCCCCTATTTGTTCCTATCAACTTTCCCCTGAACCCTTAGAACAAAGCGAAGAAGATGCCCCGACGCACTTCGGGGTCTCGGAGGACTCCAAAATCCCTTGGCCCGGATTAGTTACTCCTGAATGGCATCAGGATTTCTCGATGCATGCCAATATGGGTGAACTTTTTTTTTAACCTCCGTAAAAAGTATCCTAGAAGTGTGGAAGTTATCCCGGGCTAAATAAAGGGGGTAACCCTGAGATTTTGCTGGAGGGGCGCAAAAATCTGCCCGTTTCCTCCACGTCCTGCGCCCGGAAGAGCAGGACGCCTCTCCGGCTTCTGGGTCCCCCAGCCTCCCCAAAGTCCCCAGAAGTCTGCTCAGGACCACCCACGATCGATCCGAGGGGCCAGGCAGAGCGCCGTCCCTCCCTCGCCCTGCTCTTCCGCGTGTCGTTGTACAGCGACCGGCTTCCTAGTCCGATGCAACGCTCCCTTCTAAGCTGTGGCGTCTTGTGAGCAAAAATTCTACTTGGTGAGCTCCTGGCATGAAAGTTAGGCGCGAGCGAGTCGGCTGCTGCACGCATTCGTCTGCTCTGCGCCCTCCTTCCTGAGCGGAGACAAACACGTGCGGGCCGGAGGCTAAGAAACGGTGAGCTAGCTCACTCTAACTCAGCTTAGAGGGGACAGCGATTGCCTTTTGCCTTTCGCGCGGCGCCAGCGCCTTTCCAACGGGACCTGCCGGATCCCTCCAGCCGTTTCCTCCTGTCCTCCCCCCCCCCCCCCCCCGGCCGCCGTAAGGTATCTTTTCCCCACGAGCGGCGGCCCCGATCCCGGCAACCCTCCCGCTCCTCTCCACCCCCCCTCCCCGGCTCCCCGCCCCCCTTACCTTGCAGTTCCGCCGGGTTGTGGCTGTTCTGGTGCAGGTAAGGCTGTTCCAGGGAGTGGGCCGAGAGGCCCGAGGACAGCGGGTTGCCGGCCGCGTTGCAGGGCGACAGGGGCTGCTGCTTGATGTAGGAGGCGCCGCTGTTGAGGCCCGGCGAGGGCGCCCAGGCCGAGGGGGCCGTGCCGGAGTAGACCGAGTGGGGCTCCATCACCCCCCCGCCGGGCAGGAGCGGCGAGGCCGGCACGGAGCCGTCGTGGTGGCCGTAGTCCCCGCCGGCCGAGCCCCCGCCGGCGCCCCCGCCGCAGCTGCCCATGTAGGCGTGGTGGCCGCCGTTGGAGGGCAGGTGGGGCACGGCGTGGCCGCCCAGGCCCATGCCGTCCATGTTCATCATGCCCAGCGGGCCGGCGTCGAGGGGGAGGCTGTTGGGCGGGCAGGCGGGCCCCTGGAAGCCGTAGCTGTCCGGGAGGTGGTTGAAGTTCAAGCCGTTCATCATGTACATGGGCTTGAGGGCCTGGCACTTCCGCCTGAAGCCGCGGGGCCGCCGTCGGAAGGAGCCCTCCTCGAACATGAACTCGCTGGCCGGGTCGATGGTCCAGTAGTGGCCCTTCCCCGGGCGGCCCAGGCCCTTGGGCAGCTTGATGAAGCACTCGTTGAGCGAGAGGTTGTGGCGCACCGAGTTCTTCCAGCCCTGGTAGGAGCCGCGGAAGAAGGGGAAGCGGCTCTGGAGGAACTGGTAGATCTCGCTCAGCGTCAGGCGCTTGGACGGCGAGCTCTGGATGGCCATGACGATGAGGGCGATGTAGGAGTAGGGCGGCTTCTCCGGCCGCCGGATGCCCGCGTTGGTCTTCTTCGCCTTGGGCGCGCCGCTTCCTCCGCCGCCGCCGCTGCTGCTGCTGGGCGTCGAGGAGGTGGTGGACGAGGCGGACTCCATGGCCGGGGGCGCTCCCAGCGCCGGTTGAGGCTGCGGCGGCTGCGGCTTCTCCGCCGCTGCCGACATCGGAGGCGTCCCGGCCTCGGGGGAAGGCGGAGGGCGAGGCGGCGGCGGAGGGGGGCGAGGGCAAGAGGCGCGCGGCCCCCCAAAGGCCTTCCTGTCCCCCCCTCCCGGCCCGCAGCCGGCCTCTACGTCCGCCGCCCTTTCTTCTTCGCCAGAGGGGTGCCTGTGTGCGATCAGATGACCCTCGAAGCCTCGCTTGGAAATCCGACCGAGCCGCAGAGCCGCCCGGCGGCGGGACGAGCAGGCCGGCCGGCCCCGATTCCCACGACGCGTTGCCCCTACATCCAGAGAGACCGAGGCCGGCTCACGCGCTTCCTCCTCCTCCTCCTCCTGGGCCCGCTCCCTCCCCCCGGTTTCTCAGGCTCGGCAGGAGGATCGGGCCGCCTTCCTCTCCTCTCCTCTCCTCCTTCCCTCTCTTTTGGCTTTATTGGGTGCCACCTCCCGTGGCAATCTGTAAAGCCAATTAGTCGAGAAAATAACAACCATATTAATCTCTTATAGCAGGGCAAGAAAAATAGTCATAATATAATAGGGAAATTGTTCTAAGTGTGAAAAATTACCCACTTTGTCTATTTCATATTTCTCAAACTCCAAAATTAATGACTTCCTGGAAAAAAACAGATTTATCTCTGTACAAAGTCAGAGGGCGTTTTGAATGCTGAAGGAAAACCGATAGATCTTTCAGAATGGGGGCGGGGAATCCCTTCGCCGCAAACCCGCCGCCTCCTTCCTCGAGTCAAACTGGGAGGAGGCGTCGACTTTGGCAACAGCCCCCCCCCAAAAAAAAACACCCCAACAACCCGTGATGTGAACGTCTTTCCGATTAATATTAAAAGAAGGGGGGGGGAATGCGCGTTCCGGCTTCCTCGCCCTGTTCGTTTCCGCGGGACTTCCACGCAGGGTGCAGCAGGGCTTTTAGGCCGCGATCCTGCCTCCTGGGCACTTTCTCCCAAGGAAGCCTGTCTGGAGAAGCTCTACGCGAGGGGGGGGGTTGGATTTCAACCCGGGGGAGGGCCCGGGAGCCAGCGGATAAACGGGTGTTCGAGGTCTCTGGGCAGGACCGTACTGCGGATTAAGCTGCTGCGGAACCCCCTGCCCCCCCCCCCCCCTCTTCCCCTCGCTGGTTTTGGTGTTGACGGCCCTCTGACATGTGTCCATCAAGATCCTTTGCCTACCGCTCTGGGCGCCTTTTGTGCGCTGAGATGTGTCGAAAGGCCGCCGGAGTCCCGGCCCCGCTCAGACTGTTGAAAAACCGACGACGACAACGACAGACTAAAGAATCCCAAACACGTGTGCGCGAGCGCGCCTCTCCCTCCTTATTTGTGTATCCATGCAACAGAAAGAGACCCGGAGGGAACCCTTCCCCGCACTGAGACTCCACCGAGTCCGTTTGATGTAAACCCCCCCCCCCCCGCGCACCAATAATGCCGGGATTTCTGTTTGCGCTCCCAAATCCCCACCTCCCCAAAGGGCTTCCCGGATCGCCCGACGCCGAGGGGGGGTTGGGGGGATCTCCCTCGCAATGCTGGGAGAGCTCGCCCGCTTTCCCAATCCCGCTTCTGATTTCTCGGCGCGAGAGAGACACCCCGGCGCGGGCAGGATGTTTATATTGCGGAAACGTAAACATCTTCTTTGGCCTTCTTTAATAAAAAGAAAACGCCCGGACTTTCTCTCAGTGCCCCATTGCCGATATGGCGGCGTCGCTTTAGGGCTTCCTCTCCGCTTCTTTCCTCCTCCCCCCCCCCCCCCCCCCCGCCCCAAACATTTGGCTCAGGGGGTAAAAAATGACGTCTTGTCCCGGCCCGGGGTGGATTCTCCGGTGTTACTGGGCGGCCGCGCACGGGTTCGTCCCCACGCAGACACCCCCCGAACTTTCCCCCTCCCCACAAAGAAGGGAACCTTTTATTTTATTTTTTAAATGTAAATCCCCCCCCCCCTTCTAAATGCCTTTAAAAACCTCCCGGGAGAGTCTTTTCATCCGCCCTGTCGGCCTGTCACTCGCTCGTCAAGGTAAGTCGCTTCCAGATTTTGTCACTCTCTTTCCTGCGCGCGTGTTAAATGTGACGCCGTCAGGCTGCTCAGGTGTGGACGGGCTCGGGCGGGGGCGGGGGAGGGCAGAGCTTTCCCGGGCCCCCGAAAACAAAACCCAGCGGACCGACAGATCTCCGGTCTGCGCCTCCTTTTGATGACCCAACCTGACGAAGGGCCTGCAAGACGGCAAGAAACAAACGGAGCGGCGCTCTCTCTTCCCCCAAAGCGTCTTCTTGTCGGGAGAACAGAAACAGAGCACCCCCCCCGCCCGGGCCTTTTTACCGCCCCCCCCCCCGCTGCCTCCCTTCTGTCGCCCCCCCTTTTTATTACGACCATTTAATACCTTTTAAAAGAAAAGCCAGATTCCAATCTGGTTTCGGAATCCCCCCCGCCCCCCCTGTGTGAAGGCGGATGGCAAAGCCGGCCTTCCCAGTCTCCGGGGCGCCTCGCACTCCTGTGAGAGCGACAAAGAGACAGCGGACTTCAGAAACAAAATTGGTCGTCTCCTTCTTCCCCCCCCCTCGCGCACCCCCCCCCTCTTCTTCTCCTATCCCTGATAAAAGTAGAAATGGGGGGGCATTGCCGGTTGGTGCAGAACAACGCCCCCTCTAAGCTGTGGAGTCTTGTGAGCAAAGATTCTACTTTGTGAGCTGCTGGCATTCAAGTTGTGAGCAATGCTCCCTTTAAGCTGTGGAGTCTTGAGAGCAAAAATTCTACTTTGTGAGCAACTGGCATTCAAGTTGTGAGCGAGCGATTTGGCTTCTGCATAAATCAGTTTGCTCTGGAGCCATCCCTTCCTGAGCGGAGACGAAAATGTGTGAGCCAGAGGCTAAAAAACTGTGAGCTAGCTCACACTAATTCAACTTAGAGGGAACACTGGTTGTGAGTGAGTGATTTGGCTGCTGCATAGATTAGCTTGCTCTGGAGCCCTCCTTCCTGAGCGAAGACCAAAATCTGTGAGCCAGAGGCTAACAAACCCCCCATGTGAACTAGCTCACCCTAACTCAGTTTAGAGGGAACAATGCTCCCTCTAAGCTGTGGAGTCTTGTGAGCAAAAATTCTACTTTGTGAGCTACCGGCATTAAAGTTGTGAGCGAGCGATTTGGCTACTGCATAAATCAGTTTGCTCTGGAGCCCTCCTTCCTGAGCGAAGACCAAAATCTGTGAGCCAGAGGCTAACAAACCCCCCATGTGAACTAGCTCACCCTAACTCGGCTAGGAGGGAACAGTGGTGCGGAATGACGCGTGACTCGGATAGACAGAGAGGGGACGAAGGTAGAGGGGGGGTGAGGAAGGGGGAAATATAATCGCGCATGGATCCCCCCCCCCTGCAATTTAAGAACCCCACGAGATGATCCTGGGCGCGATCCACGGGGCCAGACTCCTGCGCCAGCTACTTTCGATGAACTGAAACCGTTGGGGGGCCTGCGACAGACCCGGGCCGCAGAGCCTAGCCATTCCTGGAGAGGGTCGCTCGGTTTCTTATTTTGTTTTTTTGGGAGTGACATTTGATAAGAAAGGCGGGGGGGGGAGGAATTGCCACCAATGTTCCCTCTAAGCTGTGGAGTCCTGTGAGCAACATTTCTACTTCGGGAGCTACTGGCATTAAAGTGGTGAGTGAGTGATTCAGCTACTGCATTCATTAGTTTGCTCTGGGGAGCCCTCCTTCCTGAGCCAAGACAAAAAATGTGTGAGCCGGAGGCTAAAAAACTGTGAACTCGCTCACACTGACTCAGCTTAGAGGGAACACTGATTGCCACCCTTCAACCGACTTCTCGCGGTGCCTCAGAAATGCTTTTTTTTGGGGGGGGGGGTTCTTAAAGGGACAAGGAAGGGATTTCCCCACCCACAAAGACCTCGGCTCAACGCCCTCGAGGATCTAAAGGAGGGGTCTGAAGACAGGAGCCCCCCATCACTTGAGAGTTCCCAGGAAATCTTTTCCGGGCAGCGAAGCTCGGCCCCAGATCTGCCCCTGCGCGCCTTTGGTGGCGACATGACCTTTCTCTGTTAAGTCAGTTCTTCAAAGACTTCACAGAGTTCTTTATCTCCGGAAAACTGATTTAGATTGGAAGCTCCTCGGGGGAGGGAACGGCTCTGTGGAATGCCATATATTTGTATTTACTTTGTTCATTTAATGGGGATCCAAAGCGGCTGACATCATTTTATCCTCACATCAATCCTGTGAGGTAGGCCAAGCGGAGGCACCCAGGTCACCCAACGAGCTTCCATGACAAGGGGGGGGGGGAGATTTGAGCCTGGCTGTTCCAGGTTCTAGTGCGGCTCCCTCCAGGCGCCTCACTTACATTATCACGGCCACCGTAACAACAGCCCTGCTAAGGTAGGCCGACACTTTTAGCCCCGTGTTATAGAAGGTGCGCTCAGCAGCTTGTGGCGAAGGCCAGGTTGGAACCAGGGCCTTTCCAAACGGCGTCTCGTTTCCTTAGGTGGCTGGCTACACCGGCTGGCGTAAGGAATAACAATAATACCATAACTCCAAGTGTTTCTTCTTGCGGTTGTTATTCCGGGTGTGCAAAACGAAGCGATCGTCGAATGTAGATCCGAGTCGGTTTTCCTAAGACGTTTCCCGACCGTTCCCTTTGGACCCCAAATCCTCTGTGTGCCTGTTTCTTCGGCACCCGTCGCCCGCTGTCTCTGGAAAAGCGTGCCTGCAGACGAAAGCTCATACCTTGAATAAAACTTTGTTGGTCTTCAGGTGCCCCTGGACTCAGTGCTGTTGCTTCAGACCGACACTGCGACCCCACCTGAATCTATCTTCTCCCACCCCCACCGCCCTTGGCTCCGGGTCTACACGTGCAGTTTGATTAGAATCGGTGGGATATTTTGTCTATGACGAAGGAAGGAGCGGGTCTCTTTTATTGGACAGTGATGGGGGCAAATGTCCCCTCTAAGTTGTAGAGTCTCGCGAGCAGAAATTCAACTTCGTGAGCGACCGGCATTAAGTTGTGAGCGGG